CACAACTTTTTGCATATAAAGATCACATTTAACAAGCAAAATTTATTTTGATAGTCGAACACAACCATCAGATCACTTCTTTCTCTACGCAAAAGATCTTTGTCAGCGGAAAAGGGAAAAATATACGAAGTCCCCGCTAACATACATTCCCTATTTAAACAAATAAATACAGATAAAATTAATTTTACTCCTTTAGCCAAGGAGGATTTGTGTATGAACTGACCTGCGGTTTTGGAACCACACTTGGACGACTCGCATGTCGAGACCCGTCTCAGCACTTAACTGCTCCCGCACATGCCTCGAGGGCTTCGCTCCCTCCGCGTAGGCCTTCTTCAACGCCTCCAACTGCTTTGCGTTTATTGTTGTTCGTGGACGCTTGTTCACACTCTCCAATTCAACCTCTTAAAATGGTCATAAAATTGTCACATACACACTACTCCATTCCACTTCCTCCTCTACGTGTCTCTGCATGGATGGTCCTGTGACACCGCCAATCATGGTGGTAACCGGCCCCACCGTATCACTCACTTTAAAGACAAAGGGACAATGTGCGTGCCCTTAAGGTGCATTTTGTCACCACTGAATGGGCAACAAGTGGATCTTGGCTCCAATTTTAACTTCAATTAACACTCTCAGCCTTACGGAAATTTTAGCTATGTGAGCTCCCTCCGAGTGGAGTCAGATAGGCTTTGCCAACCCTGTAATACCATTGTTATAATCGCATTTCCTCCGTGGTTTTACGAAATGGAAGATGGACCGATGCCTCCACGGCGGCTCACCTGACTTGGTAAAATCTGTCAATATTTGAAGCCTACTGCAAAGGTGGAGAAACAGTGCTTTTCAAAAAAAATGCTTACATTGGTTTCGGACACATTGACATTTGTAAAGTAAAATCGCCTTACTGGTCGTTGTGGCTTAAGCTTGAGGAGGGGAGGGAAGGGGGGAGAGAAGGGGAGAGAAGTGGTTAAGGGTGGATGGGAAGGGGCATGTGGGTGATGATTGGAGGTTAGAAGAGTTAGAGAAGGCCGTTGGGAGAGTGAAGGTGAGAGTGGTTAGTGTGAGGAATGAGGAGGAGGAGGAGGAGGAGGAGGAAGAGGAAAAGTGTTTTAGACTCACCCTGGGCCTTAATCATGGTGAAGTCGGCTTTGCACATGAGTCGACGATCAGCAAGAAGATAGAACTCATCACCGGTGTTGAGAGATCTTGCGCAGACGTGACATACAAAACATTCGAGGTGGTAGACATTGTCGTGAGCCTTGCGAACCATCTCATTTGGTGGAATACCCTCGTCACAGCTTGCACACTTTGTTCCAAAACGTCTACAAAGGGAGTGTCTTGGTAAACAAGCCACCCTTCCTCTCTCTCTCTCTCTCAGCTGTCTCTTGTCATAAAAAATATTTGATGAACAAAATAACAAATGAGTTGTTGGTGGGAGACTTTGTGGGCAAATGTATGTGAAGTAAGACAATTCTCTTCTTCTTCGCCTTCTTATTCTTCTTGGCAAGGCTGACTGTGGTAGGAATAAGGTGAAACTCTTTGAGACTTTGTCTTGAAGGAGACGACAAGTAGGAAAAACAATGAAGGGGCCTCTTGTGTGTAAGGCTTTTGCTTGCTCGACAATATGCAAGATTGGCGGTGCCTTTGGTTTCCATGTTGCTCTTGGCTGCGTGGACTGGACTTCATTCTATGCTGACAGCCTCAGGGCCTAAAAACAAGCATTGTCAGCCATGCTTTATTCCTTCCACTGCTTTATAGATAGTCTTGGGGCGCTACACACTGTCAGTGGCAGCGGACAGCAAACTGGATAGCGTTGCCTCACTCCCATCCCCTTTACCATCGGAAGTACTTCTCTCACAAAAAGAGAGGAGCAGCGTAAGACTTTGCTTATAAAACTGCCTATCCAGACAGAGGTTTCTTCGGCGATCCATTCTCTCCGATTTCCATCCGATAGCAAATTAACATCCAGGCTTTATACCTTCAACCACCAAGCGGAGGCTGCATATTTGCACAAAACGAAAAATTGCACCGTACACGTCAGGCGTCTAAACACCTGATGGCTCAAACGGTAAAGGAGGGTATAAAATGCACGAAAAAGGGTCATTAATGCACAAAATGGAAAGCTTAGTTACAAGGTTGCCTACTCACGAACTCCCACTCTCACTCCCACTTAGGCACTCCCTCAAAGTTCATTACTTCCATTTGTGTGTGTGTGTGTGTGTGTGTGTGTGTGTGTGTGTGTGTGTGTGTGT